TAGACATCCCTCTGAAAGGGTATTAATATGAGAGACGCTGGAAAGAAAAAAAAATCCCTTTTGTCATGTTTATTGACCATGTACATAAGTGTCAAATATCAAGTCTGTGTAATAGGCAGATAAGGTTCTCTGCATAAATCTGATATCTTTTATTAGACCTACTAAATAGTTGGAAAAAAAATTCTTAGCAAACTTAAAAACCCCTCATCAAGCTGAGGAAGCATCTCTCAGCCTGACAAGGGGTTTTTAAATCCAAAAGCTTGCTAAGAAATTTTTTTCCAACTATTTAGTTGGTCTAAAAAAATATATCAGAGTTACCCAAAGAACCTTGTCTGCCTATGTCCTTAGACCGACACAGCTACAACCTACACCCTTGTAAGTCTATATAATGTCAGCTTCAAAAAATGTGTTTCCTGCATTTGTCAACTAAAGTTTCTTGGCTCAATTTGGCAGAACTCAGTTTTGGGGAACACACCTACCTTACTGCTGCAGAATCCTTCCCATTTACAACTGTCACGGCGGCAGCTAATGAAGATTGAGAATCTTCAAACTAACAGTGTAAGTTTGTCATTTTAATTTCAACTACTTACACCTTTCAAGAACTTTCATAAAGAAAATAGGGCTTTAGTCTATTAAAACTTGAGCCACGTAGTATGTGTGAGAATCTGTGAGATAACCAAAAGAAGATGATTTTAGTTATTTACAATACTTTTTGTTCTTCTTTATAGAAACCTGGTTTACTTGGAGAGCCTCCAACAATGTTACTTCAGACTGTATTGGGAATAGGGCCAACACCATCCATGAGTGCAGGCATGGGAAACCGTGGAGAAGCTCATACATGTAAATGGTGTTTTATTTTATACCATACCAATAGAAATGTCCAGTTTGAAAATATAAAGCTGACTCTCTCCTACTCTGACAAAAGTGGTAATCATTAGCTTTATCATTTGTCCCCGTATAAAAAAGAAAGGAAGCCACCAAGCCAAACAAAAATGTTAAATACAAAAGCAGTTAACAAAGGAAGTCTATTGATATATGCTGTGTTGACAGGTTTGCTTTGGCTTCTTTCATGGTCTGGCACAAAGTTAGTGGCTGTTCTGTTTATCTCAGTTGGATAAATTTAAATATATTTTTCTTTTAATAAAAAAGCAGCAAAAAAAACAGTGGACCTACATCCATTCAACTTCCAAAGTTTACATAAATGGACTTTCTGGCTCCATCCTCTTCTTCTAGAATCTTTCCATGTATTTAATTTTTCTTTGTACTGTGTTTGAATGGTATCCACTTCAATCTATAAAACTTTGTAAGAGTTCTGTCTATACACATTAATTTTGTAGGCTTAAATACTGAAATCCAAATACATTTAGAATAATTAGAATAGGATCATATGTCCCAGGCACATTTTCTTACATCTTGTTACTAATTCAAGCTGACCGTGAAGTTTTCTGACTTAAGTCAAGCTGGCATGTAATTGAAAGCAGAATAAAAAAAGTGTGTACAGGAATGGACTGTATATCCTAAGAAGAAGCTAAACATAACAGACTCAGTGATTAACTATTTCATGCCAGGAATGTTTTTGACAATTTTTTTTAGCAGAAAAAAGCCACTTTTTCAAAACCACATTATATTCACACACAAATAAAGTAGATAGCTGGCTATTCTATCTGTACCTGAACATACTTTTGTATGGATGAATCCATGTTTTTAAATCTTGCCTACTAAATCTTAGGTATACAAATTTGTTTGCAGTTTAAGGCTATACTCAAAGCCCTTAAAAGCCCTTCAGAGCTAAGTGTGTTCACATTTAGAATTAGTTTCACCTGCCTTCACTATGGAGTGAAATTAGCACTCTATCCTGCAAAGGATCTGGATTTGCTTTAACTATTCAAGGTGATCTGGAAGCTTTTCTTGCCATAAGTTCTTAGTGTTTTAAGTTTTTGACGACCTCCCGAGGTCCCTTGCAGCCATAATGTCTATGAAATAATGTCTATGTCTATGCAAGAAGCTGGTGGTGTGATGCTAACATCTTATTTTCTTTTGGGCATGCCTAGATATGTGAATGGGAATGAATCTTATGTAGATTTAGTTTGCTTAAGCCCTTGTGCTCTGTTTGTCTTGATATACTAGATGAGATTAAAAGGTTTTGGCTTTACTTTATATTACTTTGGGTTTCAGTATTTTTCAATACTTGAAGCAATTGTCTTTCTTTCTCAGTCTATGCATTTTTATTTAGGGCTTAATCTTAAAGTTTTTTAGTAGAACTGAACTTTTTGTTTTTGACAAAACCTAATCGTTTGATTTTAGTGGCATTCTTAGTTTTTAATGAGTTTTCCTAATGTCTTGTCTGTTCACATCAGGATTGAAATAGGTTTTTAGTATTGATCCTGTACACTCTTATCTGATATATATTCAGCCTCACAAAGCTCCTTCTACAAGTAATTATGGTGTGGAAATCAGCTTTGTGTGCGATGCACAGCCCTGGCAGCCAATCAGGTGAGTGGGGCCACTGAGGAGGCCCTTAGGCCAATCAGAGATGTGGGGGAAGGGGTGCTGCCATTACCCCACAAAAATGCCAGCTGCTTCTGCAATCTCCCTGCAAAATCGGTTGGCTGCCTCAAGTTGGGTACACTGCTACGTATAAGGGTAATGTGTAGTTTCACCCTTAGTCTTCCCTCCTAAAATAAGTTTTCCATCCCCTGTCCATCCCAGAGATTTTCTCTGCAAGTGTTCTACTTTAAATCTGTTTCTTGAACATGGAGTTGTACTCAGTATTCCAGATGAGTTCTTACTACTTGTACACTCACATAAATGCTTCCATAATTCTACTGACAGTAGCTCACCTGATATATCCTAGGATTGCATTTGCCTATTTTTCAGCCCTCTCATATTGGTGGCTCAAAGCTATTCTGGCTGCTTACAGATGTGGGGGAAAAAACCCAGACCAAACAGCACTTTACTTTCAACTCGGCAAGCCCCCGCACCAAGCGCAGCACATGCCCAGAAAAGGCATTACGTCATTTTGACCCAGCTCCCCAGCGTATGTGTAGATCACACGCTTCAGCAGGACGTTTTGCGGCTTTTATCTAATAGCTGGTTCAATCAGCTATTATAAAAGCTGATTCAATCAGCTATTAGAAAGAAGCGCCAAAAAGCCCCACTGAAGCACGTGATCCGTACAAACACTGGGGAGCCAGGTCAAACTGACGCAATGCCTTTTTGGGGCATGTGCTGCACTTGGTGTGGGGGCTTGCCAAGCTGAAAGTGAAGTGCTATTTGCACTTGATTGAATCAGCTATTGGGTAAAAGTGCCAGAAAGCCCTGCGGAAACATGTGATCTATACAGATGCTGGGGAGCCGGGACAAACTGATGTGATTCCTCTTCCAGTAAAGCAATGCTTTGTTTTTTGGGTGTTTTTTTTCCCCTCCCATATCTGTCCTCAGCCTCTGTGGTCAACATTCAACCTTCTTCTGCTGTTTCCAGCTGAGTTCCCAACTTGTGGTAGACGTTCTTACCTGAGCCCTAAGTTTGCGATATCACAATTTGTATTATTACATTTCATCCCATTTTGATTGCTCTAGATCTCAAGAGCTTTTAGTCCTGCCTGTATGACATCCCAGCCCTTTTCTGTATGGACAGTGCCTCCCAGCTTTATGCCATTGGAGAATTTCAGCAGTGCGTCAGAGATTCATTTTATCCCTGACTAGTCAGGCTGTAGCAGTGCCCATTGTGTATGAGGAAGTTGATAACTTCTGTTTGTTTGCTTCAATGTTTTCTTCTGAAATACTGTTCACTTGATGAGCTGCCTAGCAAACTGGAAGCTTTAGAGATGGAAACTGAACTTTTTGCTTCCTTCAGGGCTAAGAAGTAAGAACAAAATGACAGTCAAAGTTTTACTTGTAACACTAATATCTTTACATATATATAGACAGCTCTCTCTCTTTCTTTCTCTCTCTCTCTCTCTCTATCTATCTAGATATAGATGTATAAGTCAATGGATTTCAAGTTGACTGGGTCCGTTCAAATTGGACCCAGTCAACTTGAAGTCCATTAACTATTTTAAAAACATGGATTAAAATGTTTTATATACTACACGTACCTATTTGTCCTTTGGTCATTTTTTAATGGGTTTTTCCTGTTTTTTCCAGAATGTTGTTATTTAAAAGTCTCATCCAAACAACTGTTGATTGTAACAATAAAGGGGGACATAAACTGACTCTACAAAAATTGCTGTTGAATGCATAAACTAAATATATAGGGAGACTTTTCAAATGTCTTTTATTCTCTTACATTTTACTCATATTTATTCAGAGGTAAATTATTTAGGAAAATATGTTTTCTTGAGGGTTTTTTTTTAGTTGAGTGTGTCTCTTTAAAGAACTGTTGTACACACTAACCACTGAGATCATTTTATTTCCTCTGAAACATAACCGCCTCCGGGTAGAACATGATACCAACAGCACTACACAGCAGTTTGACAGGAAATGAGGATGAGTCCTATTTCCAAGTGAAAGTTCAGGAAGAATTTTGGTGCCCAGAACATATTTATGTACATTTGAATTTGGCCAGGGTGACAGGGTTAACATCTTACCTCCTCTAAAAATTGCCAGTTGGTGTGCACTTTATTTTAGAAAAGGGCATAGACCAGGTCGGTGTTCTGTGACACTAGGCTGGACTTTACTTCAGTTCTGACTCAGAAGGAAGGCTGCCAGTTATATATCCCTGACACTACTTCCCATGGCAGGTAGATAGTTGCTGAAGGGTCTCCCAGACTGAAATGGAGCTGGCCTAACTGCATAACTTGAGATGGTATCACAGCACAAATTTGTATTTATTTTTTTCAGAAAGGTTTCAGGTGCATTAGAGACAGGGGTACTGTGCAGGAATTGGATTTCTTTCTGTATTTCATGCTCTTTTTCCATGTGTAATTGTACATTCAAGTCTTGTTCGCAGCCTGATTGTGTGATCCTTGGGTGCACTGCATGTTCCTCCTGAAGTGTTTGGGGCCACACATAGCTCCTCAACAGCTAGGGTTTATGCACTAAGTTTGGTGGTCATGTTGCATGCAGCCAGTTTCCTAAAATTATAAGTGGTTACTGGGGGAGAGCGGGATCTTGATCCTACATGTTGTCTCTAATTACTCTTTTTACTCTATCCAGAAAGCAGCATAAAACTGCTTGTGGGTTACCTACCCTGTGTCTCTTCCAATGCAAATGATCAAATAATATATGCTGATTAAAATATATAAGATGGTGTTTGCATCTAAGACTCCCTTGACTAGTACTATTTTACTTTTAAAACGCTCTTCCCTTCTCTTGATTCCAAACTTTGACAAGGGAGTAGCCCATAACTTCCTGACGGTCCAGGTGGCACCTCTTAAATATTTGAGCTCCTTTTATAGACTTCAAATAACATATTTTACAATTCCTTTGAATCTGAGTCTGGTACACTGAAGATTCTTATCTTGATCCCCTCTCTTCCATCGTCTTTGTGTTTGGCATAGAGAGTTTGTCCTGTCATAGATTTACGTCTGCCAGGTGAGGTGGAGAGCAGTCATTTTCTCTTCCAGCTCTTCTTGATGTATCATCAGCTTGTAAGTGATCTGTGCAAATTAAGAGCCATTGGCTTCAAGCAATTTTTTTCTCACTGCCAAGCTTCTCTCCTACTGTTTACACCAAGAAATCTATATTGGTCACAGGTGTTGAGTATTTGCTAGGTGCTAATATTCTGCTTGCACAGATATTGCCTATTTTTAGGAAGGCTGGAGCATTTCTTTATTCAGAATCTTCTTTTTTAAAAAAAAAAAAGTTTGTTACTCCACGTTGGATGGACTCTTCTGTTTGACTTCCTTTGTACTTAGTGTGTCGAGGAGCAGAGATTTAATGTCCAAGTTTTATGGATACAAGTTTTGATTGCGAATTCCTTGGCTCGATAGTCTGTGAAAAGATCAGTGATGACACTGCATAGTATAATTTTTTACTTCTCACCCCATTTGTTTTGGGGTCCTATGTTCTAAAATGTAGAATGTGTATTGCAGCCAAGTCTCACTAAAGAAACCCTATCTTACCAGTTAATCACTATAGATATCTTAATTTTTCAGTATTTCTAGGTATGGTTTGATAATGTGCTTGGTTAATGGTAAATAAAAGAGTTTCTGAGGATCAAGAAGACCTAGACCACTAACTTAACCTTTGATTATTAACGGTAGTAGTAGTTTCTAGCACTTATGGTTGTAAGTTGAATTTTCCTAATGCAAATTATTGCTGTTTTCCTGAGCCCACCAGCGCTCCAGGACCTCTGTTGCTATTGTTCCTAGCTTTTCTGAGCAGCATAAAAGGAAAAGTTAGCAAGATTTTGGTCAGTATGTAATACTTATGACTGCAGTGGATGCTTAGAATGAGAGCAGGATCAAGTACAGTTACAGTTTTCTTTTCTAGGATTATCTTTAAAGACAGCTCCTAGTTTTTATTATCACAGCATCCCTGGCAGCCATCTTCAGGATTAAATGTTCTAGAAATAGATTTCTCAGTGTTGTTTCTTTGCTTAATAAAAACCACAGGCAAAATGTTCTGATAAATCTTGTCTAACAGAAAGGTTTCTCCATTTATGGTTGACTGCAGCATCCAGTCTGACTCCAACTGCAGCAGCAGTAGGGATGGGCATGTTTCCATTCTTTCCAAATCAGCACATTATTGGACAAGCTATACCATGGCAAAACAACACTCAGGATAAACAATCAACTACAGCGGGACTGTCAGAAGGAGCTGTCTCGGGGTCTCAGGCTTATCTTCAGAGCTTAACAAATCTCAGTGCTGGAGACTTGCAGAGAGGACCCTCCAAACAGCAAAGTCAGCTAAAAAGCACTGATACAGCTTCAGGGGTAAGAAAAACAGAACATGGAATTTTGCATTCTCCCACTCCCAGCTGCTGCCTTTTTTTTTTTTGCTTTAATTAAAAACTAACCACAATTATTTTTTTTTAGTATTTCCATTATAATGTTTGCTGGATCATAGAATTGTAAGGCACATTAAAGGAATTTCAATTACAAATCACAGGTGAAGGACAGTAATTCATTTTGGTTGTCCAAATGAATGAACAAAGAGGAGTTTTTCTGTATTACTCTAGTCTTCATAGTTGTACCTCATAATGATGACTTGCTGAGGCTACAGGAAATTCCCCTCTGAAACAGTAAAAACACCTTGTGATGAAATTCAGTGACTAAAGATGAGCAATTCCTCTAGTACACGCCTTCAGGAAGCCAACTTGGCCTTCTAATCTGCATCCTTTTAAATTACAAGTGGACTTTCTGTAACATCAGATCAGTTTTAGTATTTATTCCTTTATAACTTGTGCAGAATTAAAATATTAAAGCTAAACTGAAATGCTTAATTAAAACCTGTTCAGAATTTCCATCCGTTCACAGCATTTTGTACGTGTGTGTACTTGTCAGTGCCCTAAATATGATATCAGGAGTCACATGTTCATTTCATATTTTCAGAAAGACTGAATTCTTACGTTATTCAGTTTTGGGGTTTCGTTTTTTTTTCCTTTTTTCCTAGTGCAGTTGAGTTTACCAGGACCTAAGCATTGTCGAGACCTGTTTTCTGTTACAACTTTATGCTTACAGATTTAATTTAGAATGTAGTTATTTTTCATTTTAAACCCATTTTTAGTGTAATGGGTTGGGCTTTACAAATTAAGCATGTTGTAGCATTTTAGTTTCATCATTTTATTGGGCTGAAAAGGAAAATAAGTAAACCATTAAAAATGCAGATGATTCAGGGTGCTAAAACCTTGTCTGCTGGTTGTTTTTGAGGTTTGTCATCCCATTCCTTTGGACAGCTTCTCTTACAAATGTTATAATAAAGTTACTTCTTTTTCTGCATCAGTTGACACAAAAACCAGTTTTCTAAGCCAAAGTGCTTTTGTAGGGCCTTAAGATCCTGTGTTTAGACACTCATACTTGGTGTCTATAATGCCAATTTAAGCTTGCCGATGTAGAATTTGGATATCCTGTTAGAGTTCCCATTTTTGAAAACTGGACTTGGATTTTGTGGAAATTTGATAAATACTATTTTTAATTTTTTTCAAAGCTTTGGAACAAAATAATAGAATACACTTAGAATAAAATGCAATATCAGTCACAGCAGGCTGCACATTTCAGACGGCTGATATGTTCTGTCATTGGAAATGAGCCTGTGTCAGTGGTAATCGTAAAGATATCCACAGCATTTGATAGCTGTCCAGTGTCTCTGAAAATGAGACAGTGGACAGCAGCCCAGTTCCTAGTAAACAAGTGTCACGGGTCCCTAAGCAGAATGGGCACTAATTGGCTCCCTTCATTGTCAGCATCAACAGAGGCCAATGTTTGAAAGGGCACAGAGACTGAACTACCAGCTGACTCAGAGAGGTAATAAAGCCCTCCCTTGAATAGGGTTGAAATACAGTGGTAGAGTGAGAGGAAGTTCATGGTTTACAGACTTTTCTTTTTATCAGAGAGGCTTGACAACATGCCATTTACTGTGATCATTATATTCCCTAATAAATGTTTTGCTATAATTTAAAAAAATGCAGAGCTGACCTAATTGGAATAACTTGGTGTCAACAGTAGAAAAGGCAATTTGTAGTCCAAAAGGTTGTGCCCCACTTGTGATTACCAGGGAAATAGGGAATTTTAGAGTGTAGTAGGTGAAGAGATGCGTGGAAACTCTTAATTGCATAGCCCAAATTCTCTGTGGCCTCAACATCCTTACAGTCTTATGCTCTTAGAAAGTTTATATAAGACATTTAGTTTATCTCTGTGGAGTGTCACTCAGGCTTCTATGATTAGCCTACTAAGTAGATTTTTAGTCGACTCCATTTTTTTAGAGATCGAGAGGTGACGCATGATTCAGCATAGAACAGCTCCTTTTGTGTTTATCCTTCATTAACTGTAAACGCTTCTTGCATCATTGTCATGACTTACCTGGAAAGCCATACCCCTCAGATGGAGAGAGAATTGTTTCTGGCAGATGCTGAGGATACTTTTGCTAGAACCTGTGTAGGATTAACTAGCTGATTTGCCACAACCAGCCACCAAATCCTTATTTTTTCTGCTGTATCAGTAATTCTCTTGCTAATGCATAAAATGTTAGGATTCTTCCTACCTAGACACTAATGGTATCACTTTCAAAGCCGTCGGCCCTGGGCAATGATCTTGTCCCTCAATACAGCTCTTTGTTTTTGTGTTTCCCAGTGGCCCATCAGACTGCACCTCCAACTGCTGCTGTCCTCCACAGACAGTCTGCCCCTGTGAAGGGCGCAGCACCACCATATAAACTTTTTACCATAGTTTCAAATATTGATATAATTCTGCTGTCTTGAGGGTGTGGGTGTGTCATAGTGCTTCAGTCCAACTACTTATTCAATCCTTCCTTTTTTCTCTTTACAAGTACTACTGAAGCCAATAAGTAGATTGATCAGAAAGGTGTGTTAGCATGTCCCAAAAATTCCACCTCCATACGGCAGAGTTCACCAGGCCTTGGTTTGCTGTGAGGCTAGGAGACTTGAATTGAATTTAGTGTTTGGTCACATTCATACAGTTCATTTAATTAATCTGAGGATTTTTAGTAGCGCTTTAAATTTACTCAGGGAATCCTTGTTTTCAACTGCTAGATCAGCAGTCTGTACTGTAAAGAGAGATTTTGCTGACAAACTACCTGGCAAGTAGGAAAAAATTAAATCTTAGCAATACGTTCAGATGTTTTGCTTCTGTACTTATTTGGAAAGATTCTGGTTTTAGAACCGTGAGTTAAAGTCCTCTAGGAACACATACATGCCATTGCTTTTGAAAAAGGGGAAGAGAATATATTGAATACATACCAACATACATATTATATATGTTTTACAGATTCCCTCAAAAAAACAGACCTCACTGCTGGGGGATCCACCAAAAGAAATCCGGCTTAGTACCAATCCCTACTTGAATTTGGCAAGTGTGTTACCTGGTGTGTGTCTTTCAGGTAAGCAGTGATTCAGCAGATGCCTGTTCAACAGCTTGTAGTTTTGCTTTAAAGTTTTCTAGAGCAGAGTATGGTAAACTGCTACTCTATTAACTAAAGGGTGCCAATGACCACAATATTTGTCACTGATAACATCTTGGATTCTGTTTTTAAAGAACTTACAATAACAGGAAAATAAATTGGTATAAATTATCTTAGCTGACTTTCTGTTTGGGAACATCTTTTTATGTATGTAGAGATGTTATGTTTGTTTAGAATTTCTGGTGCATTTTTATCTCCCATGAATCTCTTCCTATTAATCGTAACACTGTGTAGATGTTGTTAGTTGTATGTGTGATTCTGTGGTAACACATTTCAGTTGTAGGGCAGTGTTCTGGGTTTGTGACATTGTTACATGTGTGAAACCATGATAACAAATTTCTTTTGTATGGCAGTGTTCTGGGTTCCCAGCAGCACAAAAGAAATCAGGCTATGCCCCTAAATGACAGCGCAGCATGTCTCAACTGTGTGTATTTGTTTTGTTATGAACAGCAATTGCCAGTAAAGCCCCTAATGCTCAACAGCAGACTGGACTTTCAAGCCATGTGCTAGATGCTGGTGTCTCTCAGGGAAATATATCGCAACATGCAACAGAAAATTATTTGAATTGCTCTCAGCAGCAGGGGGATTATCCGCAGGTATGTAATTAGCAGTACTGCCTCCCCTGATGGGGGTCTTGGTTGTCATGTTCAAAGTTCTGGTGGAGCAACATGCCCCTTCGCTGGGCTTGTGTGCACTCAGCTTCCCTCAGTCTGAGCAGACTGCAGCATGATTTCTTCCTCTGGGCAATGTACTACCCTAATGTACTCTCAGGGTAGGTGCTCTCTCTATTCCCCCTACCCAGAAATGGAACCAGAAATTGGAAATGGCTCAAGTAACCCAGACTCCTTGGTAGCTTAAGCGCACCCTCTCCTAGAGCTCCAGCTTTATAGGGTTCTCTGAGTTTAATTTTACAGCAGTGTGTGTCAGGTGTGACACAAATTACTAATTACTTAGCAAATAGAAAAGATGTACAGATCTACACAAAATAATGAAGCTTAGGCACATTTCCCCGTCTCAGCATCTGTGCTACTTTGGAGCATAACTCTGGGCTTAATTCAGAATCTGACAAGTTGTCCAAAATCTTCCTCCATCACTTCCTGGCAATAGCTTCTGCTTTACATCTGACTTGGAGCTTCTCTTCTCTCCAGACAGTTTTCCTTAGATTTCTGCCTACACAGGCATATTCCTGTTGTCCCCTCTCCTGTCCTTGACTTCCCTTCTTAGTGTGTGAATTCCTTGAAGTAATACAACCTGGTGCCTTGCTTCCACTGCTGAAGATCTGCCACTGTTCCAAATACCCTGCTTGCAAACTAACATAACTGAACTGGTTTATTATAACCCTTTCTTTGGTGGTCACAGTTGTACACAGTACAGCTCTTGCTGACCCTCGTCACAACACTGATAGCAAATGGATTCCAAAAAACTGAGGATTTCCTGGTGCAGCCCAACCAAAATTCTTAAGTTGTACATAGATACCCTTAAAGCATCATACAAGTATGCTTGTCTTGCTCTGTCTCTCCAGATAACCGAAATGACACTGCACTTGCATCTGGTGGTTGTGTACTAAAAACAAGGCATTTGTGCAGTGAGCATTACATAACCACTTCACACATTACCAGGAAATGTTTTGTTTGAGTTTTAAATTTCTTGTGATGAGTCTTAGAAATTAAATCTAGTGCCCTGTGAAGGACACAGGAAAATGCTGTAAAATACGGGTCTGGTTACACCTTACCCTGTGAGCCGCACAAATGCTGATTGGTCTTAGTGAATTTGGAGTAGTCGTACTTCAGGCCAGCAGGGGCCTGGAGGACTGAAAGGTAAGAATCCTCCCTTTACCCCATTCCAGGCTTCCCCTCTTCGCCCTGGGGTTCTCCCCCGGTACCCCCCTGCTTACTTGTAGCTACCCACGCTGTCTGTCCCAGAGGAGCGGGCAGGGAAGGGTTAACCTGTTTGCCTGGTCGCTGCTGCTCTTTTCTGCCAGTGGTGGCTGGGCAGGCAGGGAGGGGACAGTGGTCAGCAAGCAGGAATTAGGGGTGCTGGGGAGGGCAGGAGGGAGGCATTGGACCTGATCCAGATCAGTGTTGGGGGGAGAAGGATCCATGTTTACACACTAAGGTGTAGCCTGTAGTGGCTACACTTTATTTTAATGTGAGCTGGGTACTGTGGATCAGAAATAATCCTGCCCTGGAGTGGTATAACTTTGAACTGCCTAATGAGTGCTTAAGACTAGTTTCAGGTGTTAAGAACTCCAGAAGCTGCCCACAATTACCATGCATCAAGGCCCTAAAATTGACCTAACAAAGCAGATAGTGAAGAGGTTTTTGTTCTCTTTTTCCAGGAGGCTCTCCAACAGTGGTACCAGCACTGTGCTCAAGCATATAAAGCTTCCCAAGTAAGAGTAGGGGATTTTGAAAATGAAGCTTCTGAGGTAAGAAGTAAAACTGTTTTTCTTTGTATTTTCACCGATCTGTGCTGTGATGTGCAGCATCCTAAAGCTAAATGAGAGACCTCCCTCATTGATACTGGGTCCCATGCTGCCAAACTGTATATACTGAACAGTATTCAGCAGACAACAGATCCCATTGCAACTTCACTCTGAGACTCAGGCACTGGCTTTGAATTATATTCTCTCCAGGCTTTCCTATTCTTAACTCTACAACCTGAAGGGTTCCATGGTTCCCCAATGGTATATCATATAAGAGCTGTTTCATGATCATACCTTTATAGAACCTCAAATTGGTGCTTCAAACAAAAGGCAAAACAGAAAAAAATATGGACACCCACACATGGCCTGTCTTTTCAAAGGATTGTGTGTATGAGCATTCCAGATTGCTGCAGGTCTGAGCTGCCTCTGAATTTCCTTTTGGAAGTGGACTCTGGTATTTCCACATCCACTGCTAGTTCCTATACTAAGTAAGAATATTTTAAAAAATGGATTTTGTTTTGAACTCTGATTTATTACGGATTTTATTTTGCATTTAGGAATCTGGTGGCGGGCAACACCCGGACTACAATACCTACTTGCATGTCATGCCTTCCTGTTACACTGGAGCCCAGGGATCATATCAACCAGGCAGCTTGCCAGGCTCACAAGGTCCATTGAACAAGGTGAGGGGAGAGACTAACCCAAGCATTTTCATATGTGGCCAGGTCTAAATGCTGGTTGTTGGCCGCTTTTTATGTTATACTGCCACCAAATGGCTAAAAAGAAAACAATTTGGGAAGAAAAACCTGCAGCATTCTTATAGGCTCGGCAGTGCTACGCTGACTAGCACTACGGAAGAAAGAGACTTGGGGGTCATCATTGACCACAAGATGAACATGAGCCTGCAGTGCGATGCTGCGGCCAGTAAAGCAACCAAACCACTGGCTTGCATCCATAGATGCTTCTCAAGCAAATCCCAGGACGTCATTCTCCCCTTGTACTCAGCCTTGGTGAGGCCACAGCTGGAGTACTGCATCCAGTTTTGGGCTCCACAATTCAAAAAGGATGTGGAGAAGCTTGAGAGAGTCCAGAGAAGAGCCACACGCATGATCAGAGGACAGGAAAACAGACCTTAAGATGACAGGCTGAGAGCCATGGGGCTCTTTAGCTTGGAAAAGCGCAGGCTGAGGGTGATCTGATGGCCACCTAT